CTTTTAAAAGGGATAAAGTAGAATTTTGAGAACTAAAAAGTACACTAACTGTAATAAAGCACTCAGTATCAGATGGATACAGAAGATTAGCAGACTGGAAGAGAGGACAATAAAAAACATATTAACTAAAGCATAAAGGGAAAAAAAAGGGTGGAGATGCTGAAAAGAGCATAATAACACAATTTTTTTATAACTGATATAAAAAAGCAGAAAAAATAAGTGAAAACATAAAAATTTGAAGTACATAATTACTTGACATAAATGTAATATATGGGAAACAGCTATAGAACAGAATCCATATTCTTTCAAAGTACATTTAACCAAAATTGACTGCATTCTGGGGCATAAAGCAAGACATAGCAGCTTTAAAAGATAGAGGCAGTTAAAAATATGCTTGCTGACCACAGTGAAATTAAATCAGAAATAAATAACAATAAAACAACAATAAAACAAATAAAATATTCCCCAAAGTTTTTAAATTAAGCAGTATACTTCTATACAATTCATGGACCAAAGAAGAAATAAAATGAAAGTGAGAGAATATTATGAGCTAAATGATAATACAATATGACATGTCAAAATTTGTAATATGGGGTTAAAACCTATTTGAAGAGAAATTTATGGGTTCATATGCAAATAAAAAAAGGAATGTCTTAAAGTCAGGATAAATTTGACTACATTAACATTAAGAACTTCTAATTATTAAAAGTCACTATTAAAAAAAAAGTCACTATTAAGATAGTGAAAAGGCAAGCAGGAGAGAGATTTTTTCTAAGCCTACATCTGACATGGGATTCATATTGAAAATATATTTAGAAATTCCCAAAAGTAAATAAGAAGAAGGAATACAAACCAGTAGAAAAATGGGCAAAGGACTTTAAAGAGACTCTTTACAACAGAGAATATCCAAGAACATCAGTAAACATATGAAAGGGTAATCGGATTTTTGTCAACAGGGCAATGCAAATGGAAACTACCAGATACTACCACGCACCTTAAAAAGCTCGACTTAAGACAGTATGCTGACAAGGATGTGCAGTGGCGTCTTGTACATTGCTAAAGGGAAGGTAAATTGACCCAGTTCTTTGGAAAACTGTTTGACAGCATCTACTTAAGTTGAACATAAGCCGACCTGATGACCCTGTTCTTGGGTGGGATAAATATGGGGTGGACATCAGAAGACAGGCACCCCAATATTCATAGAAGTGTCATTTATAATATCCTTAAACTGGAAACAACTCAAATACCCTTTAACAGCAGAGGATAAAGAAATCATGGTATATTTATACAATGGAATACTATATTGCACCAAGAGTGAACAATTATGGCAACACCAACAATTTGGGATGAAATGCTTAAGTGTAATATTGAGTGGTATGAACCAGACTCAAAAGAGTACTGAAAGTTCAAAAATAAGTAAAATTAATCAATTGTGACCAATGCTGGGAAAGAGGTTCCCTTAGGAGGAGTTGTGACTGGCAGAGGACACAGCTGGAGACCCCTGGGATGCTGATAATGTTCTTTTTCTTGGCCTTGCGTTCAGTACATGAATGTGTTCATTCTGAAAATACACAGACCTTCACACTTGTAATTCATTTACATTTCATGCATACGCTATACTTCAGTACCTGATTGGAGAAGGCAATGGCACCCCACTCCAGTCCTCTTGCCTGGAAAATCCCATGGATGGAGGAGCCTGGTAGGCTGCGGACCATGGGGTCGCTAAGACTCAGACATGACTGAGCGACTTCACTTTCATGCATTGGAGAAGGAAATGGCAACCCACTCCAGTGTTCTTGCCTGGAGAATCCCAGGGACGGGGGAGCCTGGTGGGCTGCTGTCTATGGGGTCGCACAGAGTCAGACACGACTGAAGTGACTTAGCTGCAGTACCTGATTACTTTAAAATGTTTCATGAAACTGATTTCTTTTGAAATTTGTGGATCTTTCAGTAGACAATGAAAAAGTAATAAAAACCCAAGAACTTCTGATCTAACCTGCTATTGAATTGTACAGTATTTCAGTGTTTGAAGGAAATTTATAGTTGTTTAATTCAAAGTTCTTCCACATACACAAAGCAGTTATATTGGAAATCTGCTACAACTCTGTGAATGTTTGAACCTCTTCCTTCAGAATTTTATTCATGATTAGTCTAAAGGGCATTTAAGATAATGTGCCTTTTAAAAAATCCAAAATACTATATTCTATTCTAATTGTTTCCCTACTTCTTTAGACTTTAAGTGGCATGGGCTTTTTCCCCCTCAAAGGATAAAGATTTGTTATGATAAGGATATTCAATAACATTATCTTTGGAACTAGATGTATTCCCCAAGGGACTTCTCTGAAGAAACAACTTCATTGAGACTCACAAATCCAATTACCTTTCTTTTCTTAAAAACTTATTTTATTGAAGTATAGTTGATTTACAATACTCTGGTAATTTCTGCTGTATAGCAAGGTGATTCAGTTATCCATATAAATAAATTCTTTTTCACATTCTTTTGGATATTGGCGCTAGTTGGTAAAGAATTCTCCTGCCAATGCAGGAGACATAGGTGATGCAGGTTCAATCCTTGGGTTGGGAAGATTCCCTGGAGGAGGAAATGGCAACCCACTCCATTATTCTTGCCTGAGGTGTCCCATGGACAGAGGAGCCTGGTGAGCTACAACCCATGGGATGGCAAAGAGTTGGACACTACTGAGTGACTTAGCACGCCATGCAGTAGGACTCTGTTGTTTATCCATTCTATATAGCAATATGATGGTTTGTATCTGCTAATCCCAAACTCCTAATCCATCCCTCCCTGTCTCCCCTTCCCCTTGGCAATCACAAGTCCATTCTCTATGTCTGTGAGTCTGTTTTCCGTTTTGTAGATAAGTTCATTTGTGTCATGTTTTAAATTCCACATTTAAACAATATCATATGTTATTTGTCCAATTGCCTTTCATAGTCTGAGTACTTGTTAAATGACAGGGGCATACATTTTTGGTAATGCCTTATTATCAAACATTTTTCTATCTTTAGTGTGAACCCATATTTTACTTATGTTTCCAGGCTATACTGAAAAAAAAAAATGATGCCAGGTAGTAACTAGTACTTCTGTTTTCCAGATTCAAGGGCAGTCAACTTTCAAAGAACCAAGGGATGACTAAAACATACATAGGTAGTGAGTAAGTATTTCTCAAAGTGCAGTGCAATCTCTGGACCAGAGGCATCAGCATCACTGGGGAGCTTGTCAAAAAATGCAGATTCTTGGGACTTCCGTGGTGGTCCAGTGGCTAAGACTGTGCTCCCCATGGAGAAGGTCTGGGTTCAATGCTGGTTAAGGAACCAGATCCCAAGTGTTGCAACTAACACCCTGCTGCAACTAAGACCCAGTGCAGCCAAACAAATAAATATTAAAACAAAATGCAAATTTCTTGACCCCAATCCAGACCTACTGAGAAAGAAACTCTGTGATGGGCTCAGCAATCTGTGTTTTCACCAGCCTTCTAGGTAATTCTGAAACATGTTGAAGAACTACTGACATTAGGGAAGCACTGTATCAGAAAAAATGCTGTCTTTGGAGTTAGCCTTAATCCTTATTTTGCTACTTATTAATTGGATAATCTTGGGCAAGTCCCTTGATTTTGAATGCTGAGTTTTCTCAATAATAAATAGGAAGAATAATCCCTGTAGTTAACTGTTGAATAAAAAGAATGAGATTTGGTATTCTAGTTTTCACTGAAATAATAAGTAAATAATTTTCCTTGGTCCATGGAGTATCACAAAAATGGTCCTGATTCCACTTGTCTAGTTATAAAGCACATTTAAAAATATTGCTGCTTTGTGAATTCACAGGAAACTTTCCATGTTGATGAGAGTGTCACCATGTGGCAGCTTCTCCTGAATAAAATTCTGCCCAGGACAAATGCACCATGTCCTGGGACTTTGAAGACGACACCGTGGAATAAAAAGCCAAGCACAATTCTTTGAAGAAAATGGCTGAGCGTGCATCAAAAACATCTTTTATCCCTACCTTTTTTTTTTTTTTGCTTTCTTTCATGCTTTAGTAGATGTCAGACTCAAAGAGTTGCCAGATCTCTCCACTACTCACTCACAAGCCATTCTCTTTCCTAGTAAATGGCTCGGCACTTGGAGAACTCCCCACCTGGAAACTGAGAGTCAGAGCACATGTCTCACTGTTTCTCACTCTTTCTCTCTTCCTCTTCATATCTGGAAGTAAACAGATTCAGCTCCCATTTCAGCACAGCGTTATAGAGCACGCTGTACAATACGGCAGACAGAAGACATTTTCTAGTTCATTCTGTTTGTTCATCTGTTGTGTCTATTTCAGTGGTAATGATCTGGGAAGGGAAGTCTTAACTAGCCACTTACACAAGTGACTCAATTTGGTAAGTAAGTAAAGACTGCAGGAAAAGTTGACCAGATATTAGATTATTTACAAGCATATCGGGTTCGGGTTTTCTTTTTATCTTCGTGTTCTTTGTATTACACAGACTCTGGGCCTGAAAACTGTCCTGTAGCCTGCGCAGACGTGACACTGGCAACGGCCCTTCTCCACTACCAACCCAGAGGTGTGCGGCACGCCGACAGGATTCTATCTCCCTGTTACTTTTGCTCTTCTCTCCCCCTCCCCGCCTCTTCCCCCCCTCAGGCTCTCTTTAACCCCAATAGAAATGAGAAAAAAATTAACCTCCTACCGTTTCTGATTTATAAAGTCATCTTAATTTATTCAAGACACTTCCTCCAAGAGCAAGTGTATATAATACGATGCATTTGGTGCATTTTATTTAATTCATCAAATTGCAATGTTTACATACAAGTTAATTCATGGCAGTGTGCAAATTAAAGGACTTGTCACCAAAATGAAGGCTTTCAATTTAGTCTGAGAGATACCTATTAGTCACTGAATCAAGGAGCCAATCACAGTATACTTCAGTAATATCTTTTATATATTCGTCTTCATCAGAGGTTTACATAATTCCCACATTATATGTCATTCTCAACACATAAGTACATTATTACATAGAAACCTGCTCATTTCCAGGTGACTTTCACGTTGCTAGAATCTCACTCTCAAAGCATACTGCCATATTGTTTTGCTTTGTAAGATATTAACCATTTCCCCAAACTTAGAGATGGTACAGGTAGCTAACATACAGATGCCCGCCTGAAAGCCCAAAGTCAGGATGCAGTTGGTAACATGGGGCTCCTGCACTTTTACATGTATGGCCATGTCTGCATTTGAAAATGATGCATTCCAGATGGTACAGTGAATGAGAAGGCCTGGAGAAGGGCTGGAGGCCACCTCTGAGCGGTCTGAGACGATGGAAATCCTGAGAACAGCAGAACAGACAGGCAAGATGACACAGTGAGGAAGCACCCCTACTTTATCAGAGTTAGGTTCATTGTGTAGCTTTTCAATTATGTTTACAAATAAGCCGTCTCACCTACATTTGTGCGAATGTCACAGTGGCAGAAGACTGCGGCCCGTGCCAGCATACAGACCCACACACTGGTACAGTAGCTCACACGGCCGTGGAGCGCAGCACCGCCTCTCCAGGGGGAGGTCTGGAGTCCTATGAGGGCATCGCCAGCAGCCACGCTGATTGAAGGGTGCAAGGTGCTCCGGCATTTAGTGCCTAACGTCGGGGGATATTAAAAATTCAGCAACATCCCAAACAGTTCTGCACAAACAAGAATTGTCTTGCCAAAAATGTAAATTGTTCTGTCTTTGGGGAACAGCTATTTTTTTAAAATTCATATCCATTGACTGCTCGCATCTGAAGATCTTTGTGTGCCTTCGTTGTCATGAGTTGTGAGAATCTGTGAACCACATTCGATATTTCATATCTCTAGATCACCCAGACTGCCTTTCTGACTTCCAGAATCATTATCCAAACTGTTTACATCTCCATCTGGGTCTGGATATTCCAGAGGACCTAATTCAGCACATCCAAAAATCAAACTCAGTCTCTTCTCCCTCAAAGCTTTTCATCTCAAATGCCTGCTTTATTGCTGAATGCTACTGCTATGGCAGTCAAATTACAAACCTGAGGATCATCTTAGATGCCTTCCTCTCCTCACTCTTACATTTAACCAGTCACTAAATTTTGGGATTCTATCTCTTTAGTGTAATTCACTTTTTCCACTATTTTCCTCACATCTGCTCCTACTGCCTTGGATCAATTTCTTCTCATCTTTCACCTGGGCTATTGCATTCGCCTTCTAATGGATCTCTTTGCCTCACTGCATTAATTAGGAGTATTTGGTCACAAGTGACAGAAAACTCACCCTAGTGGGCTTATATAACACAGAAGTCAGAAGATTGAGAGCAGCTCAATTCAGGATCTAAAAGACTTATTTAGAGCTTGGCGTCACTTCATTCTTACCCTTGACTTTCTTCTCTGTGGCTCTGTCTCAGGCAGGCTCTCAGGCGTGATCCCAACATGGATTGTGCTCCCAGCTGAGTTTCGGGTCTGTTCTTCTAACAATCTCAGTTCAGAGACAGCCTCTTCCTTAGGTGCTTTAGCAGAAGTCTTGGGATCGGCTCTTCTTGATTCTCACCACGTTGATGCCCACTGCTCCAGGAGAGGAGTCAGATTAGCCTACATGAACCCTGTCAATTGGGCATGGGAAACAGTTGGTTCCTCAAGAAAAATAAAGAGTTTGTTAGTAGAAGAAGAGAGAATGTGTGCATGTGTACATTGCTTCAGCCGTGTCTGACTCTGTGCAAGCCGTGGACTGCAGCCCGCCAGGCTCCTCTGTCCATGGGATTTCCCAGGCAAGAACACTGGAGTGGGGTTGCCATTTCCTCCTCCAGGGCGTCTTCCCGACCCAGGGATCAAACTTGTGTCTGCCTGTGTCTCTTGCATTTCAGGCAGATTCTTTTACCCAGTGAGCCACTGGAAAGCACCAAGAGAATGTGTACTTGAGTGTAAATGTCCATTAAAACTCTTTCTGTCTCGAACTCTATCCAGGGACCAGATCGATCATTTTCTACACATTGAATCAGACCCTCCTCTTGCTAAAATCCCTCCAAAATTTCCTATCCTCTCCGTGGTAAGATCTGGAAAAGTTCCAGAGGTCTGCCCTCTGCCTACTTGGAAAGTTCTGCCTTTCCCCCTTGCTCCCCCCTCTGCCTTGCTCCAACCACTGAGATTCCCCAAACACCTTACACTATGCTCTACTTTGAATTTGCTCAGGAAGCCAAACCCTAGAAAATAGCTATGTCTCCACCTAGAAAATATCTTTGCATTAACTTCTCCTTCCCAACTCCTTTCTCACCTTATCCTGCCTTTGCATTCCCCCAAGCCTACACAGGTTTGTATCAGAGCACCTGTGACCCAGTCCTGTTCCTTTTTAAATTAATTAACTGTATGACAAAAACTACTGTAATGATGTAAAGTAATTAGCCTCCAACTAATAAAAATAAATGCAAAAAAAATAAATTAATTAACTAATTAATTTTTGGTGTTAGTTGCAGGACATGGGATCTTTAGTTGCAGTGCTCAGGCTCCTCACTGTGGTGGTGAGCTTCTCTCTAGTTGCGGCGGTTGGGTTTAGTTGCCCTGCAGTGTGTGGGGTCTAAGTTCCCTGCCGCTGCTGCCGCTAAGTCGCTTCAGTCGTGTCCGACTCTGTGTGACCCTATGGACAGCAGCCCACCAGGCTCCGTCCACGGGATTCTCTAGGCAAGAACACTGGACTGGGTTGACACTTCTTTCTCCTTAGTACCCTGACCAGGGATCAAACCCTAGTCCTCTGCGTTGGAAGGCAGATCTTTAAATTACTGGGCCACCAGGGTAGTCCCCCAGTCCTACTCCAATCCATTTATTTTCCCACCTCGACTGTCAGCTCTTAAGGACAGGGACAATCATTTATTTTTGTATCGCAAATACCTGACAAGGTGCATGACCAATAGTTGGTAATGATAAATATTTATTGAATGATAATTATAACACAAATAAACTGCTTATCAGTGATAAAGTCAATCAGGATACAAATACAGATTTTTTTGACAGCTGAAAAAATTAAAATGCTTGGGGAAAAAGGAATCAAAAGATGTTCATAGTGCCGGGGGGGAAGGACTACTTTGAGTGAAATATTATTGTATTATAGCATTGTTTATTGGCACATTGCATTAATTCATCAAGCAATCATTACTTTGAGGAGAAAATTAGGCTCTGTAATTTGGTTATAATGGGCTTCCCAGGTGGCTTCGTGGTAAAGAATCTGCTTGCCAATGCAGAAGACACAGGAGATGTGGGCTTGATCTCTGAGTTGGGAAGATCCCCTGGAGTAGGAAATGGAAACCAACTACAGTATTCTTGCCTGGAGAATTCCATGGACAGAGGAGCCTGGTGGGCTGCAATCCGTGGGGTTGCAGAGTTGGACAAGACTGATGAAAGTGAAAGAGGAGAGTGAAAAAGTTGGCTTAAAGCTCAACATTCAGAAAACTAAGATCATGGCATCTGGTCCCATCACCTCATGGGAAATAGATGGGGAAACAGTGGAAACAGTGTCAGACTTTATTTTTTTGGGCTCCAAAATCACTGCAGATGGTGATTGCAGCCATGAAATTAAAAGACGCTTACTCCTTGGAAGGAAAGTTATGACCAACCTAGACAGCATATTAAAAAGCAGAGGCATTACTTTGCCAACAAAAGTCCGTCTAGTCAAGGCTATGGTTTTCCCAGTGGTCATGTATGGATGTGAGATTTGGACTATAAAGAAAGCTGAGCAGAAAAGAATCGATGCTTTTGAACTGTGGTGTTGGAGAAGACTCTTGAGAGTCCCTTGGACTGCAAGGAGATCCAACCAGTCCATCCTACAGGAGATCAGTCCTGGGTGTTCATTGGAAGGACTGATGTTGAAGCTGAAACTCCAATACTTTGGCCACTTGATGCAGAGAGCTGACTCATTTGAAAAGACCCTGATGCTGGGAAAGATTGAGGGCAGGAGGAGAAGGGGACAACAGGGGATGAGATGGTTGGATGGCATCACCAACTTAATGGACATGGGTTTGTGTGTTGGGAGTTGGTGATGGACAGGGAGGCCTGGCATGCTGCGGTTCATGGGGTCGCAAAGGGTTGGACATGACTGAGCGACTGAACTGAACTGAAGTGAGCGACTGAGCATGCAGGAGCACACACGTCCAATATGGTTATATCTGTACTTGAGATCTATTTTTATGCCATCATGGAGGCCTGAGAAAGTAGACTGCAGCCAGTGAGCAGATTGTAGTGGATGTCAGGTCAGTGGAACTATGGGTATTGATTGTCTTGTCTTCTAAATCTAAAGTCTTCCTGGAGTGTGCTCTTCAGGTGGAAACAACCATCAAGCACTCGAACTAATGGCCAAGGTCATTTTTCTAGCAAGGCAGAGATGCAGCAGTTTCCAGTGCCCTAGGCAGGACTTGAAAGAACCCTGTTTGTCCCCCTACTGCCAGGGTGGGGGGAGTGCCCCTCCCCTGAACCACACATCTGCTTTTAACAACCTCCCAAAGAAATTTCCCTGTTGCACAATGAATGCTAAACAACTCTTTTTTTCCCCTAGAGATTCAACACAAAGAACATTTTTCATTAGGACTTCTCTAAGAATTAAAGAACAACAAAATTTGGGTTTTATCAGAACAATGAAAGCTCTAGATAATGGGGATCATGATTGTGTTTATATATAATTTTGTCCTGAATTGACTGTCTCTAGAGTTCAAATTCTTCTGGAAAGTGCCAAACCTCGGTTTCACCAAGCTGAGCCATCATCTGAGCTAAGAATGGAACTCAGGCTTCTTACCTCCTCAGCCAGAACTCCATCTATTAGAACACTGTGCCTCTCAATTGTGTCTTAAATTAGGCACATAAATGAATTCACTCACACTCTCTCTGCCTACCAAGTTTCTGCAAAGGAACTTCTCTGCACTACATGATACAGTTGGGAGAATTTCCTCAGCTCTACAGTGAGACTCCTACGGACTCCGGGAGGGAGTGGGAGAAGCTCAGATGGAAAAGCTTAAGTCTCCTCGGAGAGGCACTGTCCCCTCCACGCCCCCACCCCCATCACCAGTCAGACACAGAGCAAAGGAAATCCTCTTCGTCTTCAGCCCAACTTCACCAGGGAAGTGACTCGTCAACGTGAGAAACTGTCAGTCCAACAAGTCAGAAAGATTTCTACCAACGTGGAGGGGAATATGCTTGGACAGAGCTGTGAGCTGCTCTCTGCCATCAGTGGAATTCTGAACAGGGGCTCTGCCTCATTCACCAGCCCCATTTTCCGACTGTGTCCACCTGGAGGAGGGGGGAGAGGGGTTTAGAGCTCTAGAGCAAATTGCTTGGCACTGCTCTGACCTGAAAGCCGAAGGAAGCTCGGGTGCAAGGTCCTTTTTATTTTTAATGGGCTCCTGCCTATCTCTTAAACGTGGATTTGTTTGTTTTTTTTCCTTTTTGGTCTATTGAAGCTCTAGTGCCTGTGGAGAGGGGGAGAGAAAGAAATACACACACAGACACAGACACACACACATACACACACAACAAACCCAAAAGGAGAATATAAATAAATATCATTTGGAATCTTGCATAATATCAACCAATGGCAACAGCAGGTTTTTGACAGGCCTGTGAACTTCCCCAAAACAACATCCTGCCAGCCTGGCTGTGATTCAGGCATGAGTCAACACTGCAAGATGGACGGTTGCCAGCTCCACTCCCGGGCTGGGGTTGTGGCGAAGAGAATCGCTCCCCCTAGGGTGGTCGGCCTAGTAACATTTAGAATCTGGGCTGGACTGGCCTGTCATTAAGGACGCTGGTCCCCTCGAGCTTAGCAGCAACACCAGGAAGTCTTTTCTTCTAGAGCTGGAAAGAAATCGACAGTGAAGAAAGAAAGATGCCTCTTCATCACAATAAGACCTTTGATATAAAAAAGAGTGGAGTCAAACACAGTTTTTACAGCTGACACAATTATTAGAGATTGGAGAAAATCTCTTTTCTCCCCTGCCCTGGGGTCTTGTTATAATGAGGCCCTGGACCTGCTATCAGCTTTTTGTAATCCAAACTGAGGATTGGAGCCTGCTGAACTGGGAGGAGATGTCATAGGTATCATCAGAGCCCCAAATGCTGGGGAAATAATTTCCTGCTGTTATTAAGGAGACTACCTTCCACTGACACTGTTTTTCAAAGACTGTCTTTCCCTTGGAAAAGAAGGCTGGGCTTCAGGGGGCGTTTCTCACCCTGAGTATGTGGAGCCTCCATCACATGGCCCCCCTCAGCCGCTCCACCCCCCAAACTGCCACCTGCTGAGTTAGGGGTGCTGCCCATCCCTTCCTCAATGCCTAGGGCGTCTATTCTCTGAACCAGGAAAGCACAGCACAGTCGTGATTCTGCAAATGTTGACTCAGCGTGGAGCTATGAAACATGAGATTTGTTCCAAGTAAATATGGAGCCAGGAGTGAGACACCCCAGGGAGAAAACAATGCTGTCTGTCCATTCTTCCTTATCGTTCTGAAGAGCAGATTCTAAAACCAGAATCGGGGACGTTGTTTTTTTTCTTCAGGGCAAGTTCTTTGCTCCTTTCCTTCAATCTTTTGACCAGGGAATGAACTATACTACTTATATTGCTTTTGTCAAATTATTCCTTTACAACTGAAACGTAATTTGCTATAGGCTCATATCCATTTGAGAATCCAGATGGGATGGTTTATGTTGTACCATCCTTGGCTTGGCAGGATGGCCTTGATTCCTCAGGTTTAGACCTGCTTTTTTGTCTATCCATAGTAGTGGTGGTGGTGGGGGGAAACATGATTAGTTGGCAAGTTTCTTTTTTATTAATTATTTTTTTACATTGAATTATCCTTGATTTATAATGTGTGTTAGTTTTAGGTGTACAGCAAAGTGATTCAGTTAATATATATATATATATATATATACTGATTTTAAAACTTGCTTCTTAAAATTATCAACGTTGAAGACCTAGAAAACTTATAATCAGCCTTTTGAAAAAGTCATCAATTACAGAAAAATTATGTCATCCCCGTAAACACTGAAACTACACATGTTGTTTAAATTATACTAAAACAAGCATTCACTAGATATTCAGTTTAATTCAGTTCAGTTGCTCAGTTGTGTCCAACTCTTTGTGACCCCATGAACTGCAGCACACCAGGCCTCCCTATGCATCACCAACTCCCAGAGTTTACCCAAACTTGTGTCCATTGAATCGGCGATGCCATCCAGNCCATCCTAAAGGAAATCAGTCCTGAATATTCATTGGAAGGACTGATGCTGAAGCTGAAACTCCAATACTTTGACTACCTGATGTAAAGAACAGACTCGTTGGAAAAGACTCTGATGCTGGAAAAGATTAAAGGCGGGAAAAGAAGGGGATGACAGGATGAGTTGGCTGGATGGCATCACCGATGCGATGGACATGAGCTTGAATAGGCTCTGGGAGTTGGTGATGGACAGGGAAGCTTGGCGTGTGGCAGTCTATGGGGTAGCAAAGAGTCGGACACGATTGAATGACTGAACTGAGGTATATGCGTTACTCCCAAACTCTTTATCCCTCCCTTCCAGCAAGTTTCTCTAAATGGAACATTGAAGCCACACTTAGAAAACTGCAGGCATGCAAATGGAGATTCTCAATACAGAGAAGAGATTTTGGAAATAGGATTCTTGTACATGCCTAATGTTTTCAAAAATATCTCCTCTTGGCTTATACCTTGAATGACACTTGTCTTGTGGGAACACTTTTCCCTTGTGGTAAAGAAATGACTCAAGTGTTAAAAAAAAAAAAAAAGTTCTTGAAAACCTGGAGAGTTTTTGCATCTTGCACTCAGAGAAGATGCAGCTGAAAACGCAAGATTGTGCGTGAGAGCACTGATGGCTGTCAGTGAGTTCTCACTTTGGAAGCAACTTCCCTGCAAGATATGCCCACATCTCTGGTGCCAGCCAGCGTGTGGGTGTGGATGGGCTTTCTCACAAATGCTGGCCCTCCGTTTTTGTTTTTGAAAATTTAGCCTTTGGTGTTTACTCTAGTTTCAGACATGATATTTTTCAGGATTGCGCTTGGAATCTGCAGTGGATTTTCTCTCCTAAACAAAACCCTAACACAACCTTGGCTGTGGAAGTTGACCTTGTTTGTTAGCAGCACATAAGCTATGGAGAAGGCAAACAGCCAGTTAATGGCAGTGATCCAAAGCTAACACTTCCTGCTCTCAGTAGCATGTCTTGTTCCTCTGGATGCATTTATTGACACCTGGACTCTGTCATTTGCAGCCTCCTCTCTTTGTGGCTGCGTCTTCTTCTCCCATCTTGATGGCTGCAGATCTCTGCTTATCATCCATTTCCACACTGGCTTTGTGTCCTTCTTGCTAAGCCCTGCTCCGAGTAGTTTCCACAGTGCGTGTGACATTGTCAGCAACTTGTGGGTAAGCCGTCTTGCCTGGCTTAGTCATTCTGGACTCCTTTGTCTTGTTTCTTTTTTGATACCCTATTTCACACACATTCTGACTAAGGACTCTTTTCAAAATAAGCAGCCAAAATGGGTGTTCTATTGTTCCACGAGGCTGCCAGATTATTATTTTTTAAATGTATTCACCACATGGATTTATCATGTAAACTCCTATTGAAAGCCATTGCCCCCAGGGAAGGATTTGAGCATTTGGGTAATTTCCTGGAATTCTCAAGTGTGTGTGTTTGTAGTTTCTTTTCTCTCCCCTTCAAATGGATGCAGCCATGTCAGAGCAATCCATAAACAATATTGATTGCACAAAAGCACACAACTGCCAATCTCAGGCTCACTCCTGTCCCCTGCTGCAGACCTTAATCTCTGAGAAGAAGCTCTTTTTTGTACTGGATGCAAAAGGAACACACTAGATTCATATTTACAGAATTTAAGCTTCAGTGATATTCTACCAATTTTCTTGGTGTCAGCATTGTGTCAGCCTGGGACTAAAAGCTGGAAAATTATTCGACCTGTGAAACATGTGCTTCTCTTCCTAAACCAACAGAGACACGCCTGAATGCAAAAAATGTACGTATATTCTGGGTCCCAAATGTAGAATGTGCCTTGGTTTGATAATCTAACACAATTGAGCCCATTAATATAAAGTGAAATTGCTTTGGAAGTTGGTTAACTGCCTAAAATCTGTGCAAAGCAGTGCCATTTAAAGATCTTTTCCCTTTCTTTTTAGAGTGCAATCCTTTGAATAAATAATTCAACTTAATAACCTTTATGATCTGTGAGGTTAATTGTCACTGAAAGAAACTTCCTACTGGATTAATGCAGCCCATCTTTGAATGTTTTTCACTGAGTTATCTAGCATTTCTTGATTTTTCCCTCTTGAACTTTATAAAACCCAACAGACTGATTCTGTTCCAAAAGCCACAACCACACATCAGTGTGGTTCACAACTTGCTAATGTCTTTGGAACACAGGGGTCAAGGTTATTATACAAAGTTCATTTTTTAAAAAACTACACTTGCCGTGATCCTTTAAGAAGCTCTACCTTGTAACCCAACCATGCATTTACATTAAATACACATGCTCGGATGGCAACTGCCCTGTAACAAAAGCCCAGCATTTTAAGTGATTGAACATTAATGTGGACAGCAATAAGACTTCTGTAGTTTAACCCCAAGACTGGTTCGATTCCAGGAGTGGTGTTTTAATGAAGGGCCCACAGCACTTAGGACAGATGCCGAGGGTTATGCTAGGCTGGCAGCTGAATCTTGGACCAAACACAACTTTGCAATGGCACACATTTTACTAATTTATAAGTGCAGTCTTCCCTGAAATCCCAATGTAAAGACCAGCATCCTGATCTATGAAAGTCAGTATAACCTTGAAGTCAATGAAAATGAGGGTACTGTTCACTGAATAGAGACTCCCTAAGCTTATCATGTTTTCCCTCCCATATCTTCTAGCTTATTTTCTTTGAATTTCACATGAGGAACTATGTGAAGCCAAAGGCATAAATCTGCAGGTTTGTATAGCAATAAACAATAAAACCTTATCTGGACAGCCAACAGGAATAAGTTGGATCTTGTATTCGTTTAGGAACAGCATCAGACTACCAAGTGGGCACGTGGGATTTTGCTCCGAAACTGGTTAGGATTGAGCCATGTGTGATGGACAATTAGGGGAATATTCTCATCCCTTCTGTCCATTACAGAAGTCTCTAGTCTTCAGTTGGGTTTCCCTGGTGACTCAGAGGTAAAGAATCCACCTGCAGTGAAAGAGACTTGGGAGATGCAGTTTCGATCTCTGNAATCTTTGCCTCTTTTCAAGTGCAGTGTGCTAATTAAAAGGAAGAAGTGAAACTTCTAAGAGACTATTAACAATTCAACATTCTCAGTTGGTGTGGATTACAGATTTCACTTAACTTGGCTCAAAAGTGAAAATTCGACCCCCTAAAGGGGACTGGACAGCATCACTAGTTTTCTCTGACAAAATAAGTAGAGGTGTGTAGGTCTTTGGCTGAACTACCCTGCATATTGTTGTAAAGCAGCGCTTTAGACCCACACTCAGGTTTTGTGATGGGCGCGTTCACTAAATTGTGTCAGAAAAGAGAGGTGCCGGGGAGGAGGAAGGAGAACGGAGTGGGAGGAACAGTGGCCGAGATCCCACCCCTGCTCCTCAGGAAGCAGGAACCTGGCTGTGCTGGTCCCAGCCGCGCCCAGAACCCCAATCCCAGCTGAGCTGCGCTCAGCACCGCAGTGGGCTATGACAACAGCACTGCCCACTGGGACTCACAGTTTGTAAAATTCTGTGAATTAGCACTAGATATTCGTGTTTTAGTTGCTAGGTCGTGTCTGACCCTTTGGCGGCTCCGTGGACTCTAGTCTGCCTGGCTCCTCTGTCCATGGGATTCTCCAGGCAAGAACACTGGAGTGGGTTGCCATTCCCTTCTCCAGGGGATCTTCCTGACCAGGGATCGGGCCACATGGCCTGAACTGGCAGGTGGTTCTTCGCCACTGAGTCAGCAGGGAAGCCTGTGCGCATGAGGGATGTGTTAGGTGGCGTATGTATGCGCATGCAGGATGTCTTAGACGGCGTACGTATGCGCATGCGGGATGTGTTAGGTGGCGTATGTATGCGCATGTGCAATGCGTTAGACGGCGTATGTATGCGCATGTGCGATGTGTTAGATGGCGTACGTATGCGCATGCGGGATGTGTTAGACGGCGTATGTATGCGCATGCGGGATGTGTTAGACGGCGTATGTATGCGCATGTGCGATGTGTTAGACGGCGTATGTATGCGCATGCGGGATGTGTTAGACGGCGTATGTATGCGCATGCGGGATGTGTTAGACGGCGTATGTATGCGCATGTGGGATGTGTTAGACGGCGTATGTATGCGCATGCGGGATGTGTTAGGTGGCGTATGTATGCGCATGCGGGATGTGTTAGACGGCGTATGTATGCGCATGCGGGATGTGTTAGGTGGCGTATGTGTGCGCATGCGGGATGTGTTAGATGGCGTATGTATGCACATGTGCGATGTATTAGACAGCGTATGTATGCGCATGTGGGATGTGTTAGTCGGCGTATGTATGCGCATGTGGGATGTATTAGACGGCGTATGTATGTGTATGTGGGATGTATTAGACGGCATATGTATGCGCATGCGGGATGTGTTAGACGGCGTATGTATGCGCATGTGGGATGTGTTAGACGGTGTATGTATATGTATGTGGGATGTATTAGATGGCGTATGTATGCGCATGTGGGATGTGTTAGGTGGCGTATGTATGTGTATGTGGGATGTATTAGATGGCGTATGTATGCGCATGTGGGATGTGTTAGATGTCGTACGTATGTGTATGTAAGCGCCATCCAATTTAATGTTTATGCTGCCTGGTAAATTTATCACTGCTCTTCAATAAGATTGCTTATCTGAAAAAAATAGGAATCTTTTTTGAAAAAGGAATCTTACCTGGAAAAGGATGTGGAGATGTCACAAGCTTGTTAGGAGGCCTGGGCCATGCTAGAAACAAAATCTCTTGACCAAGTCAGAGGCGCTGGTCACAAAATTATAGCTGCATTTATTAAGAAGCTACCATTTTATTTCCTAATTCTGGAAAGTATTTCTGCACGCAACTTCGCAAACTCCAGGGTGCTCTGTGCTGTGAAGGCAGAGGTGCCTGTGCCGCGTGTCACGTCTTCTGTGACCACCTCTCCGTGCAGCCGGGGCTGCAGTGACTAGCCACACCTCTGCCGCAATGCCTGGGTGCCAGCAGGAGCTCGTTCAGGACATGTTCAAGGGGGCTAGCACCCAAGGGCAACCCATGGGGCACTGGGCCATAGCACATGGATGAATATCATCTCAGGTGGATGATCCTGAGATGTGCTCTACATGGCCCCCGAGCGGTTCCCCAGTGGGCTTGTACATGTGGAAAATTTCAGTTATGAAATTGTTGTTGCTGTTCAGTCGTTAAGTCACGTCTGACTCTTTCGACCCCATGCACTGCAGGATGCCATGCTCCTCCATTCTCCACTATATCCTGGAGTATGTTCAAATTCATGTCTATTGAGTCAGTGATGCTCTCTAACCAATCTCATCCTCTGCCCCTCTCTTTGCCTTTTTCCTTCTTCAGTCTTTCCCGGCATCAGTCTTTTCCAATGAGTCAGCTCTTCACATTAGGTGCCCAAAATATTGGAGCTTCAGCTTCAGCATCAGTACTTCTAACAAATATTCAGAGTTGATTTCCTTTGGGATTGACTGGTTTGATCTCCTTGCAGTCCAAGGGACTCTCAAGAGTCTTCTCCAGCACACAGTTCAAAAGCATCAATTCTTCAGTGCTCAGCCTTATTTATTGTCCAGCTCTCACATCTGTACAGGACATCTGGAAAAACCATAACTTTGACTTTGTGAGCCTTTGTTGGCAAAGTATGTCTAGGTTTGTCATATCTTTCTTTCTAAGGAGCAAGCATCTTTTAATTTCATAACTGCAGTCACTGTCTGCAGTGATTTTAAGCCCAAGAAAATAAAACCTGTCACTATTTCCACTTTCTCCTATCTATTTGTCATAAAGTGATGGGACCAGAGGCCACAATCTCAGTTTTTTGAATGTTGAGTTTCAAGGCAGGTTTTTCACTGTCTTCTTTCACCCTCATCACTAGACTCTTTAATTCTTCTTTAGTTTCTGCTATTGGAGTGATATCTGTCCATCTGAGGTTGTTGATATTTCTCCTGCAATCTTGATTCCAGCTTGTGATTCTTCTAGCCCAGTATTTCCCATGATGTACTCTGCACAGAAGTTAAATAAGCAGGGTGACAATACGCAGCCTTGTGATACTCCTTGCCCAATTTTGAATCAGTCAGTTGTTCCATATAAGAGTCTAACTGCTGCTTCTTGACCCACATATAGGTTTCTCAGAAGATAATGTGGTCTGGTACTCCCATCTCTTTAAGAATTTTCCACAGTTTGTTGTGATACACCCAGTAAAAGGCTTTAGCATAGTCAATGAAGCAGAGGTAGATATTTTTCTGGAATTCCCTTGCTTTCTCCAAGATCCAGCAAATGTTGGGAATTTGATCTCTGGTTCCTCTGCCTCTTTGAAACCCAGCTTATACATCTAGTATACATTTTAATAGTCGTGTCCAACTCTTTTGGACACACTCTTACTCCATGGACTGTAGCCTACAGTAGCTCCTCTGTCCACGGAATTCTCCAGGCAAGAACACTGGAGTGGGTTGCCATGCCCTTCTCCAGGGGGTCTTCCAGACCAAGGGATGGAACCTGGGTCTCCTGCATTGCAGGAAGATTCTTTACAGTCTGAACCACCAGGGAAGACTGGTGTACATTTAAAATGGTAAACTGAAGAAAAGCGGAAGAAAAGGAAACGAAGGAAAAGCATAGAAAATACTTACAGATAAATTGCCGCTTAATAATGCACCTTGGATTGGATTTCCCTCCTTTTCTGTCTTACTCTTTCAAGTTACCCAGTTGGATTCTAGTTGCAATATCTCCTTTGGGGGCTGCCAAAGACCTTTATATTGATTAGATCACTTCTTGGGATGATTGTACTGAAAAGTTTCCTTTAAAATACAATGTAAAATAATTCTTGATCTTTTAATGGGAATTCATAGGTTTCGAATTTCCTATGCATCATCTCATTTTAATCTTTTAAATCAACTCCTCACCACCACATCTTCCCATTTCTATGCCTAGCACCTTGGACTGAGATATCAATTTATCTTGACCCAGATTATTGCAATTGTCTCATAAGTAGCCTTCTTGCTTTTGCCTTTCCTCCTGTTCTAACATTTAATCCCACATTATTTCATTCTCAACACAGCAGCCAGAGTGATTTTGTTTAAATAAAAATCAGAAAATGTCACCCTTCTATTCAAAACTCTCCATGGCTCTCATGTCCCTCAGAATAAAAGCTCTTATGAGGGCCTAGAAGCCCTTACTTAACCAGGTTCCCTGTTACCTCTCTAAGCTGTGTCTCTTCCACCTTCCAATCTTATTTGCTCCACTCCAGCTTCACTGGCTTCCTTGTTCTTTTTCTAACAAGCTAGAAATTCTGCCGCCTCAGGGCCTTTGCGCTGATGGTTTCACCTGCGTGGAATGCTGCTCTCCCTGTATCCGCGCGCCTCTCTCTTTTCCTTCTCTTGAGATGCACCTTCTCAATAAGGCTTTAAACTTGCAGCCCCTCAGGCCTATCCAGGCACCCACCATCCCACTCGGATTTTAATTTTTTCCCTTAATAACAGCATCTAACATAATCTCTACTTGCTTTGTTACATGGTTTATGACACAGTTGTGCACGCTTGTGTGCACAGTCAGTCGTGTTTGACTCTTTGTGACTTCATGGGCTCCTCTGTCCTTGGAATTTTCCAGGCAAGAATACAGGAGTGGGTTGCCATTTCCTTTGCCAGGGGATCTTCTTAGCCCGGAGATGGAACCCACATCTCTTGTGTCTCCTGCACTGGCAGGCTGTCTTTTTTTTTTAAACCAGCTGGGCCATGGGGGGAAGCCCAAATAAACCCCATGAGGGCAAGGATGTTTGTTTTGTTTACTTCTATTTCCAATTTTCAGAAGAGTTGCACATTGTACACTCAGTGAATAGTTGAATTAGTGTACAAATGAATGATTAAGGTTTGTGTATTTGGCCCTATCCCTATTTTACAGCTAACAGTCGAGAGATTCAGAAACTCTCTGAAGTTCTGAGAAGTTCATACAAATAGGAGGTATTAAAATTCTGTGCTACTTTTCCTATTCCAATAATACTTATGGGAGGAAAAAGGAAAGAGTCTTTGAATTTTACAATTCACACTTAAATTAAACTTATGAGGATATAAAAATTCTGTAGGAATGACTGATAACTAACTTAAGTACATGAAAAACAAGTGTATTTGAATCTTAGATATTTTTATCTTTGTCATGATGGTAAGAAAGCTCGGCACCAAATCTGTGACCTATCTCCAGAAAGTGACAGCTGCGTACCTGGCTTCATAATTATTTCTCCTGTCCTCATTTTCTTTTAACCTGATTTCCTCATTTAACTTTTTTTTATTTTTTTGCATTCTATGAATTTTTGTAAGGCACTGTAAGTCCTCTTTTGGAGTATGACAGGGTAAACATGACGAGAGAAATAAAAAGCTTGTAGTGTTAATGACCCACTGTTAATGACTAATACCATCTGACTACAGGAAAAGACAACGGTAAGATACAATCTGAATGTAAGTGGGGTCCCTGGGCATGGCTAAGAGAGTCTGGTGTCTTCATGATGTCAGCTCAAATAAATTTTGACCAAAAAATATGATTTAAGGAATTCAAATTTGTGCTTTAGTATTCTAAGAAGCTGACAAATGGATGGATAGATGCTCTTGTCAAGAACCGTGGTGGATCTGAGACTTAACCTACTTGCAAGTTAACAAGTCTTCTTGCCATCAAGTCACAAAATTCCTGATTTCCAAGACACGAGACAGGAGATTCCTGGATCAGAAGCGAAGGACAGTTTACTACTCACAGCAGCAGCAACACCCAGATGGTAGGCATTTTTACTCTGGGCCCCAGGTTTCATTTTCCATGTGAAGATGCTCAGAGAGTCCAACCAGAGTCAGGCTGAGAGTCCAACTGGCACACCTACATTCCCAGTGGGCTGCAACACAGAATGGGAACCTGGACCTTTTGCACAAGTATCCCTCAATATCAGTGAGGATTGGTTCCCAGACACCCTGCAAGTGCCAAAATCTGCAGATGCTTGAGACCCTTGCATTCGGCCCTTCACATCTCCCATTCCACATCTGCAGAGACAGAGGAGTGGCTGTACTGGGGGAGCAAGCATGCCTCCTCATTGCTCTGGAGGGAGACATCATCTCCGTTTTCAAAGACTCTTGGCCAGACAACCATCCCTGAAAAGATAGCCTGGAACATCTGCAAGCAGTACAGAAGCATGCGAGACCCAGAAATATGCAGAATCCATCCAAGGACCTCTCTAGGCAAGAATACTAGATCCCTTCTCCTGGGGATCTTCCCGACCTAGGCTTCCAGCCTGAGTCTCCTTCATTGCAGGTGAATTCTTTACTGTGAGAGCTGCAGGGAAGTGGAATCCATGTCTATCCAGAATAGTCTCCCAGCAGGCGTACATTCTAAGCACAGGCTGAAACTCCTTAAAAGTCATCTCTTTCCACCTCTTTCTGTTTAACTTAACCTCCACTGGCAGCCAATGACCCCTTAATCTTCCAGCATGAATTTTAGCCTTCTTTTCATTTAAATTTTTTTTTTTAATTTAAAGATTTTTTTGAATGTGAACCATTTTTAGTTTTTATTGAATTTGCTTCAGCATTGTTTCTATCTTCTGTTTTGGTTTTCTGGCCACAAGGCATGTGGGATCTTAGTTCCCCAATCAGGAATCAAACCCACACCCTCTGCACTGGAAGGCAAAGTCTTAACCACTGGATAGCCAGGGAAGTCCTTGGTCTTCCTTCCTTTTATTTCTGCTCTTATTCTTTATTCTTGACCAAGAATAAATCTCAACACTAAACCACTCAACTCCTCCTCATTTTCCTACTTTTATTTCTTTCTACTCAATCTTCATTCAGCATCATAAAAGCTCAGGGCTGAGGTGGCAAGACCATATTTTCTTTAGGTGAGCAAGATAGAAAGACCAAGAATATTCACATTGTAGGATTTTTTTTGTCCTTGACTAGGGATGTCTTTAAGCACCTCTGAGTTACCTTTTCTGCCCTCTGCTCATTCTCTTCCTCCTTTACCAAGCTTCAGAGCTGTAGTATTGTTCCCAACTGGTTACTTAAGTGTTAATAAGGGGGAAAAGGAATCTGAAACAGTTCTCTAGCTGAAAGAGTTCTGGTGGAGGGGGCTTGAATTAATGGTCATGGCTGAGAGGAGATTTCATCTGACTTTAGCTTCATATGAGCCGCAGTGTTACTTGGATTTACAGGAATTAGTCGACCAGGCTTTTACAATTTCTAGGCAATTTTGGATATTTTTTTGAGAAAAGTACTTTCCCATCATCCTCAATAACTTTAATATCTTCTCCATTTTCTTCAAAAAAATGGATGGGAATCCCTCTGAATTTCTGACTATTATCCCCTCTCCATCAAACTTTTTCCATCCGTTGCTTTTCTCTTTTTCACCCACAATAGACTTGGCCTCATATGTGACAGAGAAAATAGAAGTCTTCATATTCCTGCCAACAAATTGCCAATCCTCCGGGCATTGACTCCACTTTCATCATTATCTTACCAAAAGTGGTCTCTCCACATATGCTCTCAATCCCTCTGGGCCCCCTCACCTCCCACTCTCCCTTCAGCCATTTCTAGCCCTGTCTCAGTTCTCCTCGTTCCCGAAAATGGGCTTCCTGAGCCCTCAATAGTCTAGGCACTCTTTTTTTTTTTTTTAAAAAGTATAGTTGATTTACAATGTTGTGTTCATTTCTGGTGTACAAAGTGATTCAGTTATACATGTGTATTTTTTCATATGCTTTCCCACCATGGTTTATTACATGATATTGAGTATATATAGTTCTCTGTGCTATGCAGTAACACCTTGTTGTTTATCCATTTTATATATAACAGTTTATATTATATTATACAGTTTATATATATTATATATAATAACAATCTAATTCCAAACTCCCAATCCTACCCCCCTCCGTTTTGGCTAGAAGTCTGGTCTCTATGTCTGTAAGTCTACTTCTCTCGAGTAGATAAGTTCATTTGTGTCATATTTGAGATTCCACATATAAGTGTGATCATATGGTATTTGTTTGACTTACTGTGCTTAGTGTGATAGTCTCTGGTTATATCCATGTTGCTGCAGATTGTATTATTCTGTTCCTTTTTATGTCTGAATAGCGATATTCCATTGTATACGTATCACCACATCTTCATCCATTCATCTGTTGATGGACGTGTCGGTTGTTCCCATGTCTAGGGTGTTGTAAATAGCGTATGCAATTACTCCTGGCTGCTGAAGCCAGGAGAACCTTTCCAGTTCTCCCTTCTATTTATCTCTGCCATAACTGATCCACCCCACCATCTCCTTCTTATTGAGTCATCTTTTCTTTTGGCTTCTGGAAAATCAGGTACTCCAGGTGTCTTTCTGTTCCCCTAGCCACTTCTTTTCAATCTTGTGAGCTGCTACTCCATATTTTTCTGACCTCTAAGTGAGTTAGATGGCTTGGTCCTGACCTCAAGGGAGAAAGGATTCAGAATCTAGAACTCAGAATGGAACTTCATTCTCCATGTCTGTCTCTTAGTGTATTGGCTTCATGCTTTCCTAGTGAGCATAGGCTTTCTACAGGGAGCCTGGATGCCCACAGCCTACACATATAGCCTAATAGTCCTAATGGGAGAATAAATAAGGATTTTATCTTTCAAGGTCAAGTTTTAAAATCTCAGAGAAGATCCCTAAGGCCACATACCTTCTCAGACTGATCCTGTTACTGGAGAAAATGTTCAGCCAAAGGAAACAATACAGATTTTGGTTCCAGGAAGTGGGTGTAGCTGTAATAAATACCAAAAATTTGTAAGTGACTTTGGAACTGAATAGCAGACAGAGGCTGAAAAATGTTTGAGGAGCATGATAGCAAAAAATGCTAAGTTGTCTTGAGCTAAATATTGGTAGAAATACAAACAATAAAGGCACCTCCAATGAAGACTCAGCATTTTATTGGAAACTGGAAGAAAGGTGATCATTGTTATACAGTGGCAGAAACTTAGCTGAACTGTGACCTACAGTTGAATGGAAAGCAGATCTTGTAAATGATGAATGTAAATGAGCAATAAGTGAGCCCTAGATGCCATTAGAAGTGTTATAATAACAGAGATATGTAAGGAGATATGGATGCCCACACAGAAAATGAGGTGATGTGGCCACAGAAGCAAAGAAGGAGTGATGCAGGCACCAGCTGAATAATGCCAGTAACCGCCAGAACTCAGTAACTCAGATGACCATTATATCTACTACTGTGTGCAAGAAGCCCTTAGAAGAAATGGAGTAGCCATCATAGTCAACAAAAGTCTGAAATGTAGTACTTGGATGCAATCTCAAAAACAATAGAATGATCTCTGTTCATTTCCAAGGCAAGCCATTCAATATCATGGTAATCCAAGCTTGTGTCCTGACCAGTAATTGAAAAAGCTGAAGTTGAATGGTTCTATGAAGACCTACAAGACCTTCTAGAACTAACACCCAAAAAAGATGTCCTTTTCATTATAGGGACTGGAATGCAAAAGTAGGAAGTCAAGAAACGCCTGGAGTTACAGGTAAATTTGGCCTTGGAGTACAGAATGAAGCAGGGCAAAGGCTAATAGACTTTTGCCAAGAGAATGCA